ATGCATGAACTTGCAGGACTATTGTTACGGGTCGGTGTCAGAGCCTCCACCTCGATGCCACGTGTCAGTGGAGGCTACCCCACCGTAACACGCGNCATTGACACAAAACCCAAGGCTCCCTTCGGAGCCCATTACTTCAGAACCTATATCGCTTCGGCTACCACAGCTTAGCGTTGTAACAGATCTCCACGGAGTTACCAACCTATATCGCTTCGGCCACCATAGCTTAGTGTTGTAACAGCTCTCCATGGAGTTCCCAACCTATATCGCTTCGCCCACCACAGCTTTGCGTTGCAACAGCTCTCCACGGGTTGCCAACCTACATCGCTTCGGCTACCTCAGCTTAGCGTTGCAACAGCTCTCCACAGAGTTGCCAACCTGTATCGCTTCGGCCACCATAGCTTAACGTTGCAACAGCTTTCCACAGAGTTGCCAACCTATATCGCTTCGGCCACCACGGCTTAGCGTTGCAACAGCTCTCCATAGAGTTGCCAACCTATATCGCTTCAACCACCACAGCTTAGCGTTGCAACAGCTCTCCACAGAGTTGCCAACCCATATCGCTTCGGTAATACTACTTTACGTTACAGTAGCTCCATAGAGTTGCCAACCCACATCACTTCGGCCGGAATAGAATCTGATGTTGCTACAATTTACCTCATCAGGTTTCCAGTCTGTATCACTTCGACTATCCTCCTTTGGCGCTCGTCCCCGCACGTACCAACTCAAGTCACTGAAATTAAGTCCTTGTACTATATAAATATTCATACATGAACTTGCAGGACTATTGTTACGGGTCGGTGTCAGAGCCTCCACCTCGATGCCACGTGTCAGTGGAGGATACCCCACCGTAACACGCGTCCGTCGAGGTGATTACCCCTATAGGACGATCTGAGTGCACACACCGAAGTGAATAAGTGAAGGACGAACTGAATAGGCGCCATTGAACGAACCGGACTCATCCTCCAACATATCATGGATGCCAAGGCCCATACTCCGCTTCTATAATGCTGCAACACCTCACTTGCCTCGCCTCGTCTCATCAAAGATCTCTTGTACAAAGATCTTTCCTAAGTCAAATCACCGACTGATGGGACGTGCAGCAGGATCCAAACGATCAAATCAGCTAATTTTATTAGGAACATTGAATGCCAGCCAACCTATGGAGGGACGAATTGAAATTTAGGATGGGACGAGCCTTGAAGATCTGGCAACACGTATCTCCCCATCCAACGACTCTCATCTTCCCATCCTCGGTATAAATACTCACTCATTATGCTTAAAGATGGATTGGAATCCAACATACTCCAAACTATCACTATATTGCGAAATTGAGTATTCTCCTCCCGTAAATATTAGTACTTGTCGATATACACTTTGTCAACCACTTCTTGGCGAGTGTTCCACTGTCGGAGAACTCCTTTTCGGTTAAACTTTAAACTGACTTGATCGTCGGAGTACTTGCGGCCTCTCTCAACCCTTCTAGGAAAGGCCACAGGTAACTTAATGGTTTGCCACATGTGCAGGGAAGAGCTAACTTGAAGACTTTTCTGTCGGAGCCATTTTTTGAGGTCAACAACCTCTAAAACTAATGTAGTAGNAACACAAAAATAAATTAGCACCACTCCCCGGCAACGGCGCCAAAATTTGGTGTGCTGTCGTAGGCACCCAAAAATAGTCCTTAAACCTCTAAAACTAATGTAGTAGTGGAAGTAAGGGTCGATCCCACGAAGAGTGTATAATTCAATATTTTATGTTTCGTACAATGATTGGGGGATTTTTGTATGCAATTAATTGTATATAACGTAATCAATAACAATGAAAATTAAATTAACGAAAACAATCAAAAGACTAACATTGGTCTAAGTCCACATCCACCATCGAAAATTCACGATTGATCATAGATGTAATGATAATTCAACTCATATTTTGAATATTTATCGTTGAAATTGATTCATATTTCTCCTTAATTTTAGTTAGTTAGAAACTAGCATTTTACTGAACCCTAATTATTAAATAACCCTAGACTAGCGCTCAAGATTCAATTTAATAACAGATTTACACAATAGAGAAATCGATAAACTTGATAACACAAACATCAACGGTTGCATTCAATCTATTTAAACATTCTTCTTAAGATTCAGTAATCTCTATCGTAGAAAATCATTAAATCATAGTACTTCACAAGTTAAAGGGATCAAACAATTACGGATTTGATGTTTAATTTAGAGGTAGATTGTTACAATCAATGAACTAGCGGTC